TTCAATTAAACATAAATTGCATTTATTTCCTTGTTAGGTCTAGATATAATTTCCCAGCTGATTGATGGTGAGATGCCCTCATTCTTTAATTACCTGAAATATTTGGAAAGAGAAGTGCTGTTTTTTTATTTTAAATTATTTAAGGTCTTTTAATGATGGTAAAAACAAAATTTCCAAGGATTTTCTGTGGAACCAAAATAAAACTTAACATTGTTACCGGAATGTATGTTTGCTCGGTATATATTATTGGTCATACATTGACTGTTTAAGGGACAGATCATATTTTGTTTCGTATTTGCATTTATTTTTAGAAGAATTCACATTATCTTTATTAGAAATATGTTTAATATAGTGTTATGATAGGAGATGGATATGTCTGTTCTTAACGAAACATTGCTGATCTTAACGATTTTTTAAAAAATTTTTTAGTATTGGTGAATGGTTAAAGTGTTTATAAATTAAATTTAGAAAAATTCTTCCATATTAGTTTTGACATTATGGTTAATAGGAGGATTAAACCATATAATGTTGCATGTATGGTGTTTATGTTTATTTTTACCTTCTTTGTTTATTTCTGAATACTCTAAATTTACACTATTTACATTATTCAGACTATCGTCCTCATCTTTGTCGCCATTGTAATAAATATGGCGACAAAGATGAGAAGAATAGTGCGAATAATGTGTAATAATAACTCATCTCAGAAATATAGACAGATACTGAAGGGCCGAAATTTTGTAATAAATATGGCGGCAAAGATGAGGACAATAGCCCGAATAATGTAAATAGTGTACATAATACCTCATCTCAGAAATGTAGACAGATACTGAAGGGCTGAAATGTTGTAATAAATATGGCGGCAAAGCTGAGGACAATAGACCAAATAATGTAAATAGTGTACATAATACCTCATCTCAAAAATATAGACAGATACTGAAGGGCCGAAATGTTGTAATAAATATGGTGGCAAAGATGCAGACAATAGACCAAATAATGTAAATAGTGTACATAATACCTCATCTCAGAAATATAGACAGATACTGAAGAGCCGAAATGTTGTAATAAATATGGCGGCAAAAATGAGGACAATAGTCCGAATAATGTAAATAGTGTACATAATACCTCATCTCAGATATATAGAGAGATACTCTAAATTTACTTGATGGTTGCTTAGTTCTAAAGCCTTTATATATTTAATTTTATTATTATCAAATATTTCCTTATTGCTGGAGTTGGTGGATAATCTAACTATAACTGATTTATGTAAACTATTTAGAATTTTATGATGGTGGTTTGATTCTTTATGGTTATATAGATCTTTTGTGTATGATTTGTAATAACCATTATTCAGGTCTAAGGTTACATTGGAAATGTTGATCAATTTAGCATTGGGGTGGTGGTGGTAATATTTAGTTTGTGATCTTTAAAAAAATTTATCAGTTACTTTCTCAATCAGTCTAATTTTCATGGGCTAATTTTATGGATGAGAATGACACCATCATCTCTATAGAGTACAGAAAACCACATATATATGTAAAAACAAATTTATGTATATATCTATATCAGAAAAAATAAAAACTTTTAATTGTACAAGTCAATTGCTATACCTGTTCACCATTTTTATCACATTTGTACATTAACCTTTATCACACTATGACTTCATATGTTGTACAAAATTTTTATACTGGCACTGAAGGTATGCACAGTTGAGTAATGGATAACGGCTTGGATTGAGGAATTTGAGAATCAAGTTCGAATTCCAGTCAAATTCATTATATTCACTTATGTGCTAATATCCTTGGGAAAGGTGTGAATCCTCTTCTTCTCCCCCCAGCTATGGGTAACTAGCAGGACAGACTTGGATGGCAACTGGTCTAATGCAGAAAGCAATAGCAACCTACTGTGGGAAAAAATCTGCTTTGCCAGTCATGTATCGAAAAATACATGATCACCTAATCGTGTATCATGCATGGCATCTAACTGACTGAAGGTGACTCTGATCTCTGAACAATAGTATTTGAATTTCATAGATGTTGTCATATGGCAACAGAAAACACCTTCGAGTGAAATTAACAATGTGGTTATTGCAATTGAAAGGTCTTGAAAAAGAATGCAATGAAAAAGGAAGTAATATAAATAATGCAGTGTGCTAAAAGTTAAGGAATAAAAAAAAGCTTAAAAAAAAAACTCATTTATTGTAAAGATTGGTAATGAACAATAATACTTAGGACAAGAACAACACATATAAGATTTGTTAACTGCTAAAAGTGAGTCAAGTGAATTCCACAATGAATCTCCAATTGCAGACCAACATACAGTATTTTTTTTTTTAAGCATTACGCCCCGAATAAGGCGTGAAGCCACTAGGATGCAGGGGGTTGCAGAAGATTTGGAGCAAGAGCAGATAGGAGTGATAGAAGAAAGGATGAGGAGAGGGATAGTGGATAGATCAAGGTAACTGGAGATGTCAATTTACATTACATTTGAATAGTTGGAGATTATAGCTCTCAGTGAAACAGTAATTGGGAAGGGTGTTCCACAGGTGAGAGGTGCGAGGTATGAAGCTATTGGAGTAGAAGAGACAGCTGCATTTAAAAGTTTCTACAGTGTAAGGGTGTGAGTAGGTTTTACTACTGTATTTATATGAATGAGGACATACCCATTATTGTCTGTAGCTATGCTACATTATGTAAATTAATTATTAATTGATCTTCCTATGGAAGCCAAAAAAATATGCTCATACTCTGTTTGAATTTTTATCATCATTTTTCTAAATGATGTTATTATATGCATCATAAAACTTATTGAAATTTGCTCTGAGATTGATTTACATAATTGAAGGCTTTTATTTTCATAATTTATATTCTTTTTATCTAGTTATTTTATAAAGCAGTTGCTTGTATACACTCAAAGAAACCAATTAATGTATTTTATGGATTTTTTTGTCAACCAGTGAATATCAGTGATTATTCCAAACTTTGGTCATTTACTGAGTGTTTACTCTAGTAGATTTAATTGGGGATCAAGTGACAGCAAGCATTCCTTAATAATCCATCACTTTTCTCAGTATTCCTGATTTTAGTTATGCTGTCATCTGAATGGTTTTGATTCTTTCTTGGGTTTTCATTTCTACCAAACTCTTTGCTTGGATCTTGGGATCATTTCTTGTGCTCCAACATCCATACGACCATAACATTATTTTTTTTATTTCTCTTCTCCAGCTTTTCACTTTAATTCATATTCTGTAGTTTGCTGGAACAGCAAAATCTGATAAAGTTTTTGCTTGTTTAATGGCTAATTCTAAGAATAACAGAAAAAGGCCTAATTCTAATTTTTGGATCTGATGAGTGATCCATTTTGAGTTGTTGCCCTTTTAATGGAAACAAGATAGTTCCTCCTTTAGTTTTCTGTCCTTGTCCTTTGTTGAATTTCAAAGATTGTAAACAATGTCATTTTTAGTGGTGTATCTATAAAAATTAAATTAAAAATGAATATTTATGCATATTTCTTTGTCTTTTATTAACTTGACAGATCTGCCAACCCTATTGAGTTCAATTTATTTATTTTTATTTTGTTAGTCAAAGAATTTTGGGTGAGTTTGTTAGAATTGATAATTAAACTAAATTTTCAAAAAAGAAGAAAAAGCAGGGTAAACTGAGCCCCCTTTTTAAAATTCTGAAATCAAACTGTAGAGAAGGCATGAAAATGCACCTCTATCTTTCACAAGTCATGACAATTCAAATAATGGTAAAACCTGATTGCCTTTGTGAAAGACGTGGTATTTCAATAGAGTAAGAAAATTTCCTAAAAGATTTTTTCCGCGAATTAGTGAAAACGGAATCCAATTTTTTCCTTGTTCGTGGAAAATGAAAAAATAATACTGCTTAAAATGTTTTAGCAAGTGTATAACCAACTGCTGACAAGAATAATATTTCTTAAAAGATCAAGTACTCCTATGTACGTAAGATGGCTTAAGAAGAAATAACATCCTGTCAAAACTAATTGCCTTTTAAACTTTATTTTGTGAGTTCGATCCTCAATGTGGGCTCCAGAACCGTGACAGCATAAATCAAATAAGAAACGTTTTTAAGTAAATTCGTTTTCATCTTTTAAAATAGTGTTTTTTGACGAGACATTGTGTGAGTTGTATGTACATTTTTTTTCACAATAAACTACTGGTAAAGAATTGAAACAAATGCCTTGAGAGGATACAAACACCATAGTGTTTGGTCTTTAGCTAAATTACTAAAAGAAAGTTATATAATAACGCCAATAAGGAAATTTACAAGAGTAAATGAAGAACAAATAAAAAAAGGGTACATTTTTTTTTTTTAGAGTTGTTGCAACGACACAAAAATATAATGCAGTTTGTTTTTTAGCAAATAACCAATTAATAAAAGAAGTCTATTGCTCATAGAAATAATTGTACACTTTACAAAAAAGAATAAATTGAAAATTGTAAACAAAAGGAATAATAATGAATTTAGACGGTAAAACATTTCTGTGTTACAAAAAGAGATTTGCTGAATTTAACTTAAAAAACTTAACGACAATCGACTTATTCGATGATTAATAATTGCATTTAAGGGAAGTAGTTTATTTCTGATGTCAAAATTAAATATTATTAGGTTAAATATTTAAGGATTATTAAAATAAAAATATATAACATAAATAGGCATAAAAAATATTCTTTCTTAGTTTTTAAAAAAATATTATTTTGTGAATTTTGGGTGCGGGATTATTCTCGGATACCTAAACCGTTATAAAACGACGTTTCTGATTGGTTGGTACCCCATAAACGGAAGTAGTCTTGTCTATAACAAGGATAAGCGCCGAGACGCTAAGGCAGTTTAGTGAGGGGCTGCCGTCGGTGCGAGTGGACGGCACTGTATTTTTATCCCATCCAAATAGTCAAAAAGAAAAGAAAAGTAATTCCTAGTAACAGTAAAGTTGTGTTGGTATCTAAAGTTAAAAGAACGATGGCTGGCAAAATACCTCGAATGGCTCAGCTGCACTGTTCAGCGCATCCTGATTCGTCTCTAATCGAGGATTACCATGCCGGGGATATGATCTGTTCCGAATGTGGTCTGGTAGTAGGTGATCGAGTCATTGATGTTGGCTCTGAATGGCGAACCTTCAACAATGACAAAAACACCAAAGATGTCTCTCGAGTGGGTGCCGCCGAGAACACACTACTGGGCGGAAGCGACCTCTCAACAATGATAGCCAGCACGTCCAGCGGCGAAACACTACTGGACGATAACGGTAAGCCTATGTATCACAGCAGGAGGAACTTAAGTGTATCAGATCGAACCTTGCTAACGGCCTTTCGGGAAATCGGTCAGATGGCCGAAAGACTTAACCTACCCAAAATGATTGCTGATCAAGGTAACATTCTATTTAAACAAGTCCATGAGAGCAAATCGCTCAAGGGACGAGCGAACGATGCCATTGCTTCGGCTTCTATGTACATCGCTTGTCGTCAGGAAGGAGTACCAAGGACATTCAAAGAGATATGCGCGGTTTCTAAGGTGTCTAAGAAAGAAATTGGACGAACTTTTAAGTTGATTCTCAAGACTCTAGAAACGAAGGTGGAGCTGATCACTACAGGCGATTTCATGTCTCGCTTTTGTTCCAACCTTAGCCTGTCCAATGCTGTTCAAAAGGCCGCAACGCACATTGCTAATAAGGCAGTGGATAAGGACTTGGTTCCTGGTCGAAGCCCGGTCACAGTGGCTGCAGCTGCCATCTACATGGCATCACAGGCTTCAGACAACAAGAAAACCCAGAGGGAAATTAGTGAGGTAACCGGGGTGGCCGAAGTTACTATACGTCAATCTTACAAGCTTATGTATCCCCGAGCCCAGGAGCTTTTCCCTGAAGAATTTAAATTCGATACCCCTATTGACCAGCTCCCTACCCAATAAGAAATCCAACATACAAGGGCCATATTTGTATTTGTAGGTGAAAGATACTTTAAAAAAAAAAAAAAAGATCCACGTTAAATCGAATTTGATCGAAAAAGTTTTCCCGTGGACACATTTTCCTAAAAATAACATAGTTCTTCAAATTGAGTAAAAAGTTAGTTTATTTTTTTTCTCCTTGGTGGATTGGGTATCACTTTTTTCAAATGCACAAAAAAAAAAAAAAAAATCACTTTGTACAAAAACACAAAGTTTCTCTCTTTATTCTTTTTTTATTATTATTTTTAATGTTAGGTGTGGTGACGTTTCAAAAAAAAAAAAAAACCCCAAAAAAACCATGAGAATTTTTTTCCCTTTTCTTTAAACGGAAAGAATATAAGCAGATCCTAATTGATGGGGCTTTTTTAATTCCGAGTTTATCAAGGAAAATTTTGGATGGGTTACCCGACCAGTGACCCAAAACAAACAAAAAAAACAACCGTCCCAATGTAAGCATTTCCCCTCTCTATCCTTTTGTAAGTAAATCCTGGGCAAAAGAAAATAACATTTTAAATTGAAATGTTTTTTAAAGTGTCTGTTTTATTAAATGATTTATGACATGTGGGACCTAATAAGCGGATAAGGATCATAATATCTTCTAACTGGTCCGTTTATCCGAAATTTCCCATTTTCTTTCATGAGAAAATCTTTCACGTTTTTGTTTTCAGTAGAAAGAATGCACGTGGGATTGATTGAATTAAAGGGGAGGGGAAAACAATGGACCAAAAGTTGAAAACACAAGTCCTTCTTCTAGAGAAGACAAAAAAAAAAAACTTGTATAACGAACAAGTCAAGCAAGTGTATGATTTGGGGACATTTTTATTTTAATTTTGCATAATGTAAAATTGACACCTTTTTTAAGAAATGAATTAAAATGGAAGTTCCTTATAAGAAAGTTATAAAGGATTAAAAAAAAAAATACATTTTTAAATTAACCTTCCACAAAAATCTTAATTTGTAGAGAAACTCTTAAGATCCAATCTTGACTAGATTTTTTAATTCCTCTATTTTCGGTGTAATAAAGCCCAAAATTCGTCCTTGCATGAATTCTAACCATTCTTGTTTTTGTGACTTCTCTTGACACAAATATTCAGCTTTTTTTTTTTTTTTTTCGCTTCTCTTTCTTTAATAACTTTATGCTGTTAAAAATAAAACTATTTCTAAAATTTAAAGTAAGAAAAATATTACAGATGTTTTGATTTTTAACTATTTAAATTTTGATCAGTAATTTTATGTCATTTTGTTTACTATTTTTCTTTTTTTTTCTTTTTTTTTTTTTTAACAATTTTGAATTTAGATAATTACAGTATTATTACTTGTTAAAAAAAAAAAGCCCAAAAAACTTTGAAATTCAAAGATCATAGACGGTTATTTTTATTATTTTCTAAAAATCTTTTGACAGAACAAAATAAGTTTCTTTCTCTACTGTGAATAAAATTTTTCTATAGTTCTGTATTTTTGCATTCATGAAAATTAACTTTATTCTGTTGACATTTTTGGAGAAAGTTCTAGCATCAGATCAATCCAGGTATCTTTTTCTACACAAAAATGTCTCACAATTTTTGACTTGTTTGTTTTTATTCATTGTAAGACTACATTTGTTTAGTGAAGAATGTTCGCTTTGTTTACTATTTTTATTTTTTTGTAGGAACAGCAATAGACTGAGGTAATCACCTCAAAAATGTGTAGGGGTGACATAGCGGTTATCATCACTGGAGGATGGGTAATAGAATTTGGGGACAAGTCAAATTCCAACTGAGGTAGTTTTGTGGGGAAAGTTGTAATCCATTTTCCTTGCAAATAAATGAGCAACGAAAAAAATTATTTTTCAGGAACAATCGTAGCAATTCAGTTTAAATATTACAAAAAAGAGGAAGCTGTGGAGGGCCAATATCATCCATGCTTAGCTGTGGACATGTTGAATTTTTAGTTTTTGAATAGCTCGATTATGAAAGCGAGTAAGAATACGATGTAGGATTTATTTGAACAATAAGGGCATGAAAGGTAAAAAAAAAAAAGTTTACTTTTCAAGTTCATCAAAAATTTTAAGTTAGTGTCTTTGTTGCCCCTTTCGAAATCTTTTGGTGATGATTCTTTTTTTTTGTATATGATTCTTTATTCTTTAGGAGTGTGGACTCTTATTTAAATTTAATGGTCAGGGTTTAAGTTCCTCAACCAGCACCTCTATTGCTCTAATAGGGAAAGAGCATTGCCTGATGTCTGCAGATTGAAAGGATCTCTAGAGATCTTTTTTCACAATAATACTGACAATATATGCCTTCACTTTTTCGGTGGAAAAAAAAAACAGCCTTTAGTTTAGCTTGATGAAAATTGAAAAAGGTCCTCAAAACAAAATGTTGTTTATTGAGAGGGAAAACCAAGGCATTTTTATTTTATTTCTTTCTAGCATGTCCGAAATTTGATTAACTTCGTTTTACTTTTGTTTTTTTTTTTGTTTTTTTTTTTTTTTTTTTTTTTTTTTTTTTCCTCAGTGGTCGACGTAAATATTTACGATGAATGTGTTTGTTTGTTTTTTTTTTTTGTTAAGATTTTCTTTTCTATACCCCCGTCTCTATTTCGACAAATTAAATTTAAAATCCGGAACTTTTCATTTGAGAATGTAACCATTTTTTTTCTTTAACTTCTACTCATTTCCCGAAAGTCTGCTCTCCGAATCGTAAAATAAAAAAAATACTCTAAGATTTAAGGACACTTAGGAAAAAAAAAATTAATTCTCGAAGAATAATGAATTCTTACAAAAATTTTCATACACGAAAAATAAGAGCGATAACTATAGTAAATTTTTTTTTAAGTCAACATAACTAAAAATTAGATTACGAAGGATATTTTCCAACATTTTTAAGATTGATTACTTTAAGACGCTAACGTGATGGGGTTTTTGGTCACTCAAAAGCCCCTGAATATGAAGTCCATGGTAATAATAAAATTATTAATATTTATGGACCATTACTACTATTTAATCGTGTATGTATACACACACTGTATAGTGCAACCATTGGATTTTTTGCATAATTTTTTTTTTTTTTTTTTTAACCCTTTCAAACTCAAATGAAAATTTACCTGTGTATAGTGTGTGTGATGCCCTATTTTCTTTTACTCCACCATCTTTTCTCATCTCCTTTAAAAAAAAAAAAAAAAACCTCCCCAAAACTGATCATAAAACTCATTATACTAAAAAGTATATACAGTACATGGTGCGATGTATAAACTGCCGTCTAAATTATGCAAAAATGAAAATAACACTCATTTTTAACAGATATATTTATCAAAATTACACAAAAATATCTTGAAATACTAAAGAGTTAATTTATTCAATAAAATCATCATTGGCTTCAACCATGACTTCCAGATAACTTCAGAATCTCTTGCATCTCTTCTGGACGGTCTCCTTGTTGGTGAATTCTGCCATAATCCATGCCTTCAGTTCATTTTTGGTATTATAAGGAGTTTTGTTGGTCTACTCCACACAATAATCAAGGGAATTGCAGCCTGGGAAGATAGGTTGCCAGATCTAAGGTGATGTGGTTGCAGAAATTGGGTTCTCCTACTTGTGTGGCATGGTGCAGAGTCCTGTTGCCAGGCATGGGGTCTTCCGGCAGCCAGTCTTGACCCAGGGCAGCACTAACTCCTCATGGTATTTGATGTAGGCCTCTGTGTTGAGTCTGAGACCCTGTGGGAAGATGAATTGAGGCATAGCATCACCATCACTAGTGATCACTCCAAACACCTTTGTAATCACCATTAGACTTCTCCAACTCTTTCTAAATCCTCTGCATTGTCCTCAGATTAACACCCAAACACTCTGAAATATTCATATTGGAGCTTCCAGCACAAATGCCAAGCAGTACTGCATGCCATTTACAAATTTCTCGTGGAGTTAATTTCATCATGGTGCTCTTTGTCTCATAAATGGTGCCCTACTGACTCTACACACACACACAATTGGGGAAAACTTTCTTTTTTTTTTTTTTTTTTTTTTTTTTTTATTTCTTCCTCAGTTTCCCATATTTGACAATATGGCAATATTCTTTTAGTTGTTTCAATTAACATCTTATGATACATTTTGTTTAAAAGCACTCTCTGTTGAGCCAATGCATACTTTGTCCTGATATCCTTCACTTTTTGTTGGATTACCACATTTCTCATGAGTTTCCATTTAAAGGATATACATCTGGGTTTTTACAATTGCAACCATAATCTTTATTTTTTTTCCTTTTATTACTTGCATAGTATGTCTCTCTTAGTTTTCAATGATTTGAAAAAAATTACTTCCTATTTTAGTCATAACTGCTAAGTCAGTGCAAACTAGCTACTATTTCTCCGTCTGTTTTTTATATACACAAAGACTTATCTTAAGCCCCCTCCTTTTATTAATGCTGTTTCATACTCCTCCTCTTTAATCTCTGTAAACGTCAACATCAGGCGAGTCTGTTGTCGATAGTCTATTTACTATTCTTTTCTTTTAGGTATTTAAATCACATTCCTTGGCTGGTTTGATTCAGTGTTGATATGTCATAGTTGACAGTTTCGGGGATTTTTCTTATGTGAGAGATTATAGTTGTTTCAATAAGAGAAAAGTGTATATTTTAAAAAGAGAAGCTGCAAACGTTTTTAGTTTTAATATGGATTTTTTTTTTTTTATATATATATATATATATATATATTACACTTTGCTTAATTTATTTTAATATATATAAAAAAATCCACATTATAGTCAAAAATGTTTACGGCATCTCTTTTCTCTTCAATATATATATATATATATATATATGTATATATATATATGACCTTATCTATCGGCTTCTGAGATCAATTTTAACATCTTGGTATTCTACCTATTTTAAGTTTGCTTCTATTTCTACTGAATCCACCTTCTTTAAATAATTTAAATAGTCGCTTCTTCAGTAATACAAATTTTTATTTACTTTCTATTGGTAATAAAG